GACCCCTGGAGTACTACCTCCAGGGGTGGGATCTCTTGTGGCATAGGGCGTGGCTAACAGGGGTCAGGGATGTGGCTAATGGGGGTCAGGAGGCATGGCTTACATGTCCATAATTTTGGTTCAGAAAACTCGATCACTGTACCCATGCCTGAGCTCAATATCTGGCTCTATCCTGCATAATTGCTGAGAGGAATGGGGAACTTTATGTTCCTTGAGACCCCTGCTCAAACATGTAGGATTAATACAAGCTTTTAAAAAATACAGACGTTCTCCTCAGTTGTTATGCAACATGAAGGGGCATGCTATAATTGCACAGTGACTACTACACTATGCCCAAAGGGCCTGATCCTGAAATGCTTATGCAAACAAAACTCTAGTTGAAATCACTGGGACTCTTTTCTGCTAGAACTGCAGAATCAGGCCCTCACAATCAATAAACTAGATGGCAAAGTTCTGTAAGTGAATACAGTATTGAGATTTTTTTTTCAAAATATGTAGAATCATGAGATTGTTATAGTTAGAAGCTGAGGCTAATGCCAGGCCTCTCTTCCAGATATTGCCTTGGCAGAGGTGTGGCAGGCCCTCTGGAGCTATGTTGCTAGTGTGCGACGTACACAAATAAAACACCTCAGGAAGCTACACTTAATAAGGGCCTTTATTTCTGTTGCTTTAGAAATAGTACTGAGCAGACTCCCAAATCCAACAGCCTCCAAGCACTGGGTGGTATCTTATCTGCCCTTGACATAGAGGCACAGAAACTCTGTGCATCCTCTGTCCCTACTCCCTACACAAATCAGCAGGCTTAGTCAGAATTTTGCTCTTTATGTTTTGTCCTTATGCTCCCTCCCCTAATAAACTGGCCTTTATATTTGTGTACCCAACATTACACTGACAGTGTGTGCCACAGATGCTAATTTGTCTCCATGATGCTCAAGCATCCTCCTACCTCTCCCCCATTCTTTCCCTCTGTTGGCCCAGTTTTAGTTCAGGCTCTAATTTACAGCAAAACCTGGCACTACGGTGGTTACCTTTTTAGTTGTGTAACTCAATAAACAACCCAAAATTAAATAATAGAAGCATAAAGTTTAAAACTAATCATGTTTGAGGAGCACTGAGTTTTTCAGAGCAATCCAGTCTACTGGGATATATGGAGGTATGGGCACTTCAGTGAAATGGAAGTTACAGGGGATCCTGCAGGTCACTTCACATACAGCCACATGAAACCAAAGGCCTGTTTTACTGTGAAGCTCTGCAAACTTTATACAAAATGTAACTAAAACCTGGCTAGTTGCCCAGCACAGCTAGCAGCTGTTCCCCAGACTACATCATAGAACAGACATAGAAGAGAAAAAAGGTAGAAAGGGAAAGCTAAAATAGTCAGAGATATACTGACCCAAATAGCAAGGCCAGCTGTTGGGGCCCCTAAAAAGAGAATGGCTGTTCCCTTGTCTCATTCCGAGGCAAATGGAGAAAGAAGTCTGAGAAAAGTAATCTGATCTCACATGCCTTAGAGGAAACACAGAGGAAGAGAGAGTACTCACGGACCTTGGGCCTAGATTGTGATCTTTTAATAGGTTGGGCCTGAGGACTCGGAGGGTATGTCTACACAGTAGTACGAAATAAGCTATGTATTTTGAGCTATGGCAATTGTGTATCTTATTTCAAAATTTGGTGCAGCCTAAACAGTGAAAATATCAAAATAGAGCACTATTCTGATGTGTCCCTTAATCCTTGTGCAACGAGGTTTACAAGACGTTGGAATAACAAACCTGTTATTTCAAAATTCATTTGAAATAACGGGCTTACTGTTAAGACGCGCAGAACTCTAATTTGGGTAGCACAGCTGTGTAGACATAGCCTGGAACTAGCAACACAGGGAGGCTGGGAGTAGGAGCCAAGAAAGGAAATGGAGGTTATGGGAGGGACTGGGAGCAAGGAGATGGCGGGGAGGAGAGGTGACCGAATGTGAATGAAGTGTTCAGGGAGACTGGGACTTGTTAAGCAAGTTGACTGAGACCTGATGGGATATGGTTGTCTTCTATGGCAAGTCTCAGTTAAATAGCCACTGTGAGGGTATGTCTACACTGCAAAGTTAATTTGAAATAACAGCCATTATTTCAAATTAACTTTAATAGAGTCTATACATGCAAACCACTATTTTGAAATAAAATTGAAATAGCAGAGTGCTTAATTCGAATTTGGTAAACTCATTCAACAAGGAGTAGCGCCAAAATCGAAATAGCTATTTTGAATTAAGTGCTGTGTAGACACTTAATTCAAAATAGGGGGCCTCCAGCCCTTCCCAGGGAACCCTGGTGGCCACTCTGGGCACAACCAGGAAAACTTACTCTCCTCTCCCCCCAGCCCCAGAGCCATTAAAGGGGTAGACCCTGGCCACAGT